GATTTGGGCGGTATCTGTGGATGAGGTTGGTGATGTAGCTAGGGGCAGTGTTGTGGATGGCTTTGTAAGCTGTGGTTAGTATTTTGAATTTTATACGTTGGGTTAGTGGACATATAACATAAATATAATATAAACTGTCATAGGACCCTAAGCTACCATTGGCTAAATAGGAATCAATTCTTTCTGCTGACTTCACTAATTCATTAATGTATTAAATGAACATCTCAAACACTAATGACACTAATACTTGTCACTGTCCCCCAATGCCTTTTATAGCTAGGCTACACTGACACTGACTTTTTATCGATGTTTAAAGATTTTTATAAGCGTATGTTTAATTTTTTTTTTCTTAAAATATAGGTAAAAAAGAAGAATGCTGTGTGTGCAGATCACATTGCCAAACAATATTTCTCTCTAATGAGGTATATTATCATGTGGAATTATTGTGTCCAGTATATTCTTACATCCCATCTAATAAATTTCTCCCTTCCACATTTGTAGACCCCCAGCATGTATGTTATGCTTTTTTAGTTACTTATCTTTTTTGAAACCTTTAAAAGAGAATTATGCCCAGAGATTTTTCTGGCCATGCCCTTCTTGTGGGTCACAGGAGACAGGAGTAGAATTACTTTTGTACTCCTGAAAGCCACAGTTAGCTGACGGGGCAGAGCTGCACCAGACTCTGGAAGGATCATGACAATATTGTCCGGATCTACCCTGCTGCCTGATTGACAGCTGGCTCCACCTTTCAGTACCTGGCTGAGAGCCAAAGCCGGCTGTGCCTGGCCCCTCCCCGGAACTCCTGGGAGCACAGGACAAGCAAAGCAGAGAGCAGACTGAGAACCGAGTGATCAGCAGCCATGTGATCACTAAGCTCTCAGTCTTAGAGCCGATGTGGAACAACTGCAGTATCATACAGATGCTGCAGCGTGGAGGTGAGTATAGTGTGTGTGTTTTGTTTTCTCCCTTTAGTCCTGTTACTTGACTCACTGGGTCATCTTTCTCTTCAGCCTTCTACGGGTTGTGGGTGGTTCTCAGTTATACAAAGAGCAGCTCTGTGATAACGATTTCGATAATGATAACGATTTCAGGGGTGCTCTCTGCATCATTGCATGCTGTGGTGGGCAGTCTTCCAAGCTGAGAAATGATGGGCATCATTCAACTTAGAAGACAGGGGGCATATTGTGATGAAGAACAGGTACTGCTTTGGACAGATCTGGATTAAAGGCTAGCTTACACCACAACCCTACATTCAGTATGCGGTTACATGCAATTTTAATGCATTTGTAATGCGGTCCAGTGCGTTTTTTTTTCTTTTTTTCCACTTCAAAAGTGTTTTTAAAGCAGATCTTTGCCCATTTTTAAATGTTGCTCTCCCATCCCTATTTAATTTTTTTTTTCCCCTAAAGTTCAGGTCCGCCTTTCTTGCCTAGGTGAGAATGACATACCCGGACCCCGCACATGCGCAGGTACACTGTAGATCACTTTGGGATCTGTTGTGTCATTTCTACACAGGTGTGTGGTCCTAAAATCCGCCTCCTGGGATTTCTATGTCACTCATCCCAGGAGGAAGATCGTGGGCTCTCGCACATGCCCAGAAACTGTGCAGATGTCTTTACTTGCAGGGCATGCGGTGTGTCTACACATGCACACACCAGGGGGGAAGGGGGGTTTGCAAGGGTCTGTAGACCTGGAAAAGATCCCTGTGGTGTGTCTGCTACACATATGCTGGGAATGAATTCAAGATGCCGCACCAGAGAGGAGGAGCGTAGGAAGAACTTTCCCTACAAGCAAGATAACGATGGATTCCATTGACTAGTAAGTGTTTTTTTTTTGCCTTTACGTAAGGACCATTTTTAGCATTTAAAACTATTTTTTTTGATAGTAAGGGTGGAGTTCTTCTTTAAAGGAGTGTGCCAGCATTTATGTGTTTAATACGCATTTTGGTGCGTTTACATGCATTCTAGTGCAAAAAAATGCATGCTACTGCACTTTTTTTAAAGCACTGCAAATAAACGCAGAGGTGTGAACTAGGATTATTGGAAAACATTAATTTACTGTGCTTGTGTTCCGATGACAGCTCACATCCTGTACAACAGGGTCACACCTGGCGGGAAATGGCGATAGTTTTCTATATAGAAAACTGCAGTATAATACCCTATGTTAAAGCGGAGATCCCCCCTGTGACGGTCACGGCGTCAGACCCTAGCCCTTCTCACCAAACTCGTGACCGAAGGACTAGCAAATCTAAAACCGCGCTGTCACGTGCGTAACAATGCCACGCCCAGCTGCACCCTGCACAAAGATTTTCCAGCTAATGGACCACAATCTGTGTACCTGCAGCCTGGGAGCGATTATTACTGGGTCAGGTTAATTACATAATTAACCCTTCACATTGCCACTACCTCCTTTTTGTATGGAGAAGGAGGAAACTCAGCAATAACACTATGATGTTTGAATAATCGCTTGTATACACAATGTCACTGCAGACAGATGTATGCAGACGTATAAAACACACAGTAGCACTCTTCAGAGACAGGGGTTCTTAGTTTGCATTAAAGAGCTTTAGAAACAGTTCAACACTTTCAGAAAGTAAGATTTATTACTAAGGTCAAAAGGGTGCAATAAAAATATTTACAGAAAAAGATGTAGCCAATATATATATATATATATATATATATATATATATATATACAGAGAACAATAACACAGCAAAGAGATAACAGAAAGAAATTTAGAGAGATAGCATACTTGCCAAAAGTCTTGGGTTAAGCCAGTGTTTCTCAACTCCAGTCCTCATGGACCCCCAACAGGTCATGTTTTCAGGATTTCCCTCAGATGAAACAGCTGTGGTAATTACTAAGGCAGTGAAACTGATCAAATCACCTGTGCAAAATAATGGAAATCCTGAAAACATGACCTGTTGGGGGTCCATGAGGACTGGAGTTGAGAAACACTGGGTTAAGCAGATCAAGTTTCCTGAGCAAAAGGGCCTTTATCTCCCAAAGTTGGTTCCTGGTGTTAAAAGGGAGAATTCTTCAACTTAGCTCAACTCAGCTTAACTCCGCTCTCTGCTCCAAGCATAACACCCTTTCTAGGAACTCAGCAGGGTGTCTCCCTGAAGCAGAGAACCAATCGCCTCATTTGGGGAGGGTGTTGCAGGCGGAGACCCAAGCTAGAACCAAAATCCCTCCCAGTTTATATCATGACCCATAACTTACCCTTGGTGCATGTAGCAGCCTTGCCACTAGTAGATTAATATGCAGAAGCTTCTGCTGAACGTTTAGATATGAAATATGACATACCTGCTTGAGATGGTTAAGGAGATATCATTTTCTGCTCTTCTGTAGATGTCAGCTAGGGGGTGTAATATATCAGGCGACTTGTATTAAAGTGACCGATCTGAATATATGCCTGGTCTCCTTGTAAGTCTTCCATTTTTCAAGATATGAAACCATAGGGGGAATGTCTTTGAAGCTCAGTGAAGGACTTGGTTTATGGCTTTACGATATCTCAGACAGAGAAGCTAACAGACACCCAGGCACCAGCTAGTGGGATTTATAACCATTAAGCTCTCCCGCTGAGGCTGTGATCTCTGGCATCATCCAGACCACATTCCTGAGGGAGGGGGGAAATTGGAGGGAGGCTGGTTTGGGAGTAGAAATGATACAAGATGGAGGATCCTTAGCAAGATGGGTGACCGCGTCCATCTCTGTATGCACAATTGCTACACCCATCCCCCCAAAAAAAAAAAAAAATGTCAGCAGCTACAAATACTATAGCTGCTGGCTTTTAATATGAGGGCACTTACCTATCCAGGGACCCAGCGGTGTCCCCACCCCAGCTGATTCTTCAATCGGCTGCCGGGTGCTGATGCTATCTTGACTAAGGGAAGCGTGCTGCACTTTGTGAATGGGCTGCAATCCTCTGGGACTTGTGAAGTGTCCCAGAGGGCTGTGTGGGAGGGGGGAGCAAACTTCTCACTCTGCCGTGGCGAACTGAGCCAGAGGTGGAAGCGGGTACCTGTCAAAACCAGGTACCCGTTCCCCCCACCTCCCCCAAAAGGTGCCAAATGTGGCAGCAGAGGGGGAAGGAGATAAGCGGAGCTTCCACTTTTGGGTGGGAACTCCGCTTTAATTAGTTGCAGATCTGTGCTAGATTTTATTTTTCTCTCAAATAGAAACTGGTGCAGGTGGCACAGATAGACCTGAAATAGACCTATCCGCTCTGTTAATGTGGCACACGTAGTTTCTAACAGTTTCCTGCATTATTGTAGCTTAGTTCATTTCTCGGATTGCATTTAAATAAAGTTTTTTTTTTACTTTGAATTTTTTTTGATAAACTGAGTTTATTGGAGAGCAGGCTGAAATTGTTTAGTATTTTCTGCATATAGAAATATATAGGATGGCAATCACCCATTTGCTGCCTAGAGCAGTGTTCCTCAATGTAGTTCAGGCACAGCACCCTTTGAAAGTATACAAACTCCCAAGGCACCACAGTCTAAATTGCATCAGAGTTCCCCATCGCTTCAGGAGCCTCCCTTGTCACAGAGTCCTCAGTTCCGTCCCCCCCCCCCCCACACTTTCACATCAGAATCCACAGTCCCCCTGCTTCCCATCAATGTTCTCAGCTGCCCCCCCCCCCCCCTTGACATCAGAGTCCTCAGTTCCCTGCCCCCCCCCCCACTTTCACATCAGAATACACAGTCCTCCCTCCTCTTTCACATCAAAGTACTCAGTATCCCTCCCTTCACATCAGACTCCTCGTTCCCCTCACATCATGGCCGGATCTAGATGGGTGCTGGGGTGGGCTATGCCCCCCCAGATTTTAGTTGTGTCCCCCTTAAAGCCAAAGCTATCTGCGTGGGGAGGAGGAGCTCTGCTGCTGGTGCTCAGGCTGTGCGCAGTGCAGGGATGGGAGAAGGAGCTCTGCTGAGTGCCCTGCCAGTAGTGACCCCTGTTCTCTGCCCTGTCAGGAGTGACCCCTGTTCTATGCTCTGCCAGGAGTGACCCCTGTTCTCTGCCCTGCCAGGAGTGACCCCTGTTCTCTGTTCTCTGCCCTGCCAGGAGTGACCCCTGTTCTCTGCCCTGCCAGGAGTGACCCCTGTTCTCTGCCCTGCCAGGAGTGACCCCTTTCATCTGCCCTGCCAGCAGTGACCCCTGTCCAATGCCTGCCAGCAGTGACCTCTGTCCTCCTCCTTGCTGACCCCTGTCCTCAGCTCTGCTGTCTCCTATCCTCAGTTCTGACCCATTGTGCTCTGCCCTGCTGACCCCTGTGCTCTGCCCTGCTGACCCCTGGACACGGCATTGGTGACCTCCCATTCTCTGCCCCCCTGACATTTTTGTATTGCACTCCCACATCAGACAGGCTAGATCCGGCCCTGCCCCACATCAATGTTCTGAGCCCCCAAATGTACTCCGCTCCCCCCCACCCCACTTTCAAATCAGAGTCCCTCCTTTTACATCAGAGTCCCCAGAACACCCCCTCCCTTTAACATCAGAGTCCTCCAAAACCCACTCCCCCCATCTTGTACATGTCTCCTGCCTTCCAGTCTTCACCACATAGCGGCTGTGTCAGAGTGGCAGTGGGTGATAGGCAGAGCAGGTCTTCCATCCCCGCCTGGCAGTTGGGGCTGCTCTGAATGCTGGCTGCCCTGGATTGGCTCCTGCACCATGGAAAGGCATGGCACTGTGCAAAAACATGGCTGAGAAACACTGGCCTAGGATTTAGGCTTGCAGGTTTGGTTAATGCGCTGCATCTTATGGATAAATACAACAGGATGGGTATGACATCTGTTTCCACCTTTACAGACAAACCCTGATATCAAAATGCTTTTTATGGACATTAAAGTGCTTTGCAGCAGCTATTCTAAGGAGTTCACGCAGGTAAGTTCTCATATCTGTTCATTTCAGTTATCTAAATAAATATAATGTGGGCATCTGATATCACTGGAATGCGGTGAATGCAGTGTATCTATAACACAACCTTTTTTTTTTTTTAGTTTTGGATAGATTGGGGAAAGGTTAGAACCAGGGGGGGACTGACCATGTGAACACTCGGGCACTGCCCGAGGGCCCGGGTTCAGTAGGGGGCCCCATGAGATGCCCCTGGCACCTTTCATTGTCTTTTTCATAGGTTTTTTTGGGTGTGGGCGAGGACGTAGGGGCCCCATGATCCCCTATTGCTCAGGGGCCCCATGAATTGTCAGTCCGCCCCTGGTTAGAACCCCTGTCCGGTTTTACTTCTCTGTTAGGCTATGTTCACACTAGCTTTGTTAGCATGCGCTAGACAGGCATTTGAGAAGCATTTTTAATGCTCCTCAAACGCCTATGAAAATTCTACACATGGCAGCACACAGTGCTGTTCACTCTGAAGCGCTAGCTTCGCGTCTTGGCAAAACTGATGCCTCATGTTGAGTCAGGAGGCACTGAAGCCTCCCATTCAAGTCTATGGTGACGCTCCTCTTGGCAGGCGTTTGCGGAGCATTTGCGAGGCGTTTGCAGAGCGTTAATACCATTAAACTTCCTTATAGGTGTTTGTGGTGCGGTTTTAACGCTTGGCAAACGCCTATCAAACTCCTCAAAAATGCACATAGGGCATTTGGGGAGCGTTTGAGAAGCGTTGAAAACGCTTTCCAAACTCCTAACACCTATCAAACACTAGGGGCATTTGGCAAGCGTTAGAAATTAGTCAAGTGTGAACGAGCCCTTAGACAAATTTCCCCTCTCTTTCTGTTCTGGGGGACAAATTTTTACCAAACATTTAAAACCCTTTGAGGACCAAGGGACGTATTTATCCCATGATTTTAATTGCGTGTATCATCTGATTAAGAACTTAAAACTCTTTTTTTTTTTTTTCTGGTTTGAGTCAAAATATTAGTTCTTATCAACAAACAAATGGATCTAGCTTTTTGCCAATTATTTCATGAAATGGCTTAGTTACAGCAACTGAAGTGTACGAACTTTAAAAACAAAAAAAATCGATTCTTTTGGTGTTCCAAAATCTTACGGTCCTCAAAGGGTTAAGCAAACAAAAAGCAAATAAAAGGTATTTTACTTGTAGTGGGGGTGTTCCTGCACTGTAAAGGTTAATTGCTTGTTAATGCTTAGGGGAACAATAAAGGAGATATACTTACCTGATCATCCGGGACCGACAGTATCTGTACTATCATGCTCCACTGGTTTAGGATCCTGATGTCATCAAAACCAGAGCAGGGTCCATAGCCCTGCAATGGATGTCTCGATGCTGAGGGATAGTTATACAAAAACGTGGCACCCAATTCTTCCAACTGTACAAAAAAGTGGCAAACTACCCAGGGGTGGACTGACAAGTCATGGGGCCCCCGGGCAATGGGGGATCATGGGGCCCCTGTGTCCTTGCCCACACTTAAAGCACACCCAAAAAAGCCTATAAAAGTTACTAGGGGCATTTCATGGGGCCCCCTACTGACCCCGGGCCCTCGGGCAGTGCCCGAGTGCTCAAATGGTCAGTCCGCCCCTGAAACCACCATAATGAATAACTGGCCTTTGCAGCAAGGTGCACATGGAAGGGCAATGCACATCACAAACAAAGGATTTCCCAGCACACTTACCAGCCAGCCTGCAAAACAACCAAATTGGCTCTGTCTAACAATTTACATTAAAAGCAGACGGTTTTCTTTGCACACATTTGCAAATCTACAGTATGTGTAAGCCGCAGTGCCCACGCCAAGAGACCTCCTATATTTACTGCAGTCCTAACTCTAAATTTCCGGAACCCCTATAGTAGGAGCACATATAAGAATGGATAAATTAAAGGCAGGTGTTCCTGAAAGGAGCCCACCCCTCTATAAAGGCTCAGGGACGCACGTGACACCATGCAGGAGCACAATGGCAGCGAAGGCACACAATTTTTCAAACTGTACAACAAAGTGGTAAACCACCCCAACCTATAACTGGCCTTTGCAGTAAGGTGCACATGGAAGGGCAATGCACATCACAAACAAACTAAGGATTTCCCAGCACACTTACCAGCCAGCCTGCAAAACAACCAAATTGGCTTTGTCTAACAATTTACATTAGAAGCAGACGGTTTTGTTGGCACATATTTGCAAATATACAGTATGTGTAAGCTGCAGTGCCCATGCCAAGGGACCTCTGTTTGTACTACAGTCCTAACTCTAAATTTCCGGAGCCCCCATAGTAGGAGCACATATAAGAATGGATAAATTAAGGGCAGGTGTTCCTGAAAGGAGCCCACCCCTCTGTAAAGGCTCAGGGATGCATGTGACACCATGCAGGAGCACAATGGCAGCGAATGCACCCAATTTGTCCAACTGTACAAAAAAAGTGGCAAACCACCCCAACCTATAACTGGACTTTGCAGTAAGGTGCACATGGAAGGGCAATGCACATCACAAACAAAGGATCGTGGGAGTATGCTGCATGTTGGAGGAGTGGAGGATCAGGTAAATAAAACGGTTTCTCCTCTCCCCTAGTCAAAACAAGCTAATAACCCTTGAAGTGTGAGCCTATTGACAGCAGGGGGGGGGGGTATTTACTAAAGCTGGAGAGTGCAAAAGCAGGCTCACTTCTGCATAGAAACCAATCAGCTTCCAGGTTTCATTGCCAAAGCTTAATTGAACAAGCTGAGGTTAGAAGCTGATTGGTTTCTATGCAGAAGTGGGCCTGATTTTGCACTCTCCAGCTTTAGTAAATAAACCCCCATGTGTCTGCAGTAACCCATACAATACTGCAAAGCACATTAGTGTTACTAAACCCACAACAGTCCAATCAGTCTATATATGCAGTAAAGCATGCTTGTTATACTCACTATGGAACCTAAGGGGTTAATCCTCTGCACTGTTTTATTCCTGACTTCTCTGATCCTCCTCTTCTTCCAGACTTCCCTTCTTATCTCCCAATAAGACATATCTGTGTAGCATCACTCTGCACATGCTCAGTTTGGTGTGAACTGCTAGAAAGGTTTTTGTTTTTCTTGGGAGAGTGCACTGTGATCAGAAAAACACAGGGCCAATCCGCACTATCCAGACAGAGGTCAGGGGTTCTGCATCCTTTTAGAGCAAAATTAAAACTCCTACAAGTTTTAACCAATGCCTTAAGTCAGTCAATGTGAGTTTTTCAGCGTTTATGTTATTAGTTTTTGTATTAGCAATTAGCTGCATTTTTTTGTTTTCTAGCATTTTTTTTATAGGTTTTTTGTGACCAAGGAATTTTTTTTTTGGCAAAAAAAATCCAAAAATGCTGGTTTGCCATGATTTACTGCGGTTTTTTGCGTTTTCAGTGTTAGAGCATTTTTACTCTAGAAACCCACTCATTCTGGTGGGTTTTTCCAGCCAAAAAAAAACCCCTGCCAAAAAATGCTACAGTCTGTGTGCATGGACACATAGGGTAATATGTTGGGGAGTTTATTGGCTGTAGAAAAGAACGTCAAAGCCAAAAACAGCTGCTGTAAAAATGACCAGTGTGCATGAGAACTTACAGAGCAGGTCCAGCTCTGGAAGAATCCTGACCATATTGTCGGAATCCACCCAGCTGCCTGATTAACAGCTGGCTCAAACTTTCAGCCTGCAGCTGAGAGGTGGAGCCAGCTGCGCCTTCCTCCTCTTCTGCTTGGAGCTCTGGTGAGCACTGACAGTCACTTCTTTCTGCTCTCAGCAGACCGTTCACATGATCACTCAGTTCTCAATCTTAGAGTTGACGTGGGACAGCTGCGGCATCACAATGATGCTGCAGCTGCCCCACGTCGGCTCACACTGATGCTGCAGCTGCCCCACGTCGGCTCACACTGATGCTGCAGCTGCCCCACGTCGGCTCACACTGATGCTGCAGCTGCCCCACGTCGGCTCACACTGATGCTGCAGCTGCCCCACGTCGGCTCACACTGATGCTGCAGCTGCCCCACGTCGGCTCACACTGATGCTGCAGCTGCCCCACGTCGGCTCACACTGATGCTGCTGCCCCACGTCGGCTCACCACCTGCCCCACGTCGGCTCACACTGATGCTGCAGCTGCCCCACGTCGGCTCACACTGATGCTGCAGCTGCCCCACGTCGGCTCACACTGATGCTGCAGCTGCCCACGTCGGCTCACACTGATGCTGCAGCTGCTCCCTGCCTCACACGTCACGTCGGCTCAGACTGATGCTGCAGCTTCCCCACGTCAGCTCACACTGATGCTGCAGCACAGAGGTAAATATTTATGTTTTTTTTTTTTAATAACTCCAAACTTCTCCTTTAAATCTACGAAAATTTTAAAAATAGTATGAAAATGGGATGCTGGAATTTCGTCTCTGTATGATAGGACCTTAGGGGAATCCTTGCAATGTTTTTTTTCAATTTGTAACATAAATATTAATTTGCAGGTTTTAGAGTTTCAGGATAGTCACAGACGCAGGTTACTAGCACATTACAAAGGAAAGGTAAGTCCCAGCACATGCTGTGTAACATACAATGCTAGGGTGCTTGGTGTCTCCAGCAATGAGACATTAAACAAACCTAAAGGCAACTACTACTCAAGCGATAAATGCTAAAAACAATACCAGTCAGTGGGGGGCTTAGGT